AAAACTAACATTCCTTTTACTGAATGGAGTAGATAAGAACAAATTTTTTGCACAGTTGAATGCTAAATAGTTAAACTATTTTTTCAATGCACTGAAGTCTAAAAATTATATGAGAGTTTCTACATGTACCACTGGCAAGGATATTTGGGAAAGACTATACATTACATATGAAGGTACCAGTAAAGTCAAATAATCTATGTTAAATGTGTTATTGCATTATTACAAACTTTTTTGCATGAAACCTTATGTGACTATCTCAGACATGTACACTAAATTTACTTAGATAGTGATATCATTGCATGCCTTAGGTAGAGAACTTTCAAACTCAAAGAATGTCAATAAAATTCTATATTGTCAACCTAATAAATTTCATATCAAAGTAACTATCATATGTGAATCAAAAGACTTAAACGCTTATCCTATTGATAATCTGATCGGATAACTGACTACCTACGAGCAAAGTGTGAGTCAAAGACGTTTCGATGCAGGTGATTAGAATGCTATAGTACCAAAGGTAAAAAGATAGATAAAAATGGCTTAGGAGATGATGAGAATGAGGATCTAGCATTAACAACAAGAAAATTCAAAAGTCTCCTGAAGGACAAGTAAAAGCATGAACAAAAATAGAGTAAAGTTAAAAATGGTAAACATGAAAAGTTTGTTTCTAACATTATCTGCTTTGGGTTGAGGAAACCTAGACATCTAAAATATGAATGCCCCAATTTATGAATTGTCCTGTAAAGAAAAAGTGCGAGGATAAGCCAATTGCAATAATGGGAAATAAAAAGAAACAAAAAATCTCCTAGGTAGACAGCTTATACCTCATCAGAATATGAGCCATATGATGATATAATAAACATATGTTGAATAGGCAAGGATTCAATTGGTAATTCCAATCATGTATAAAGTTTGTTTCTCAGGTTGTGTGTTTATCTCTCTATTTGAGTGTTTATGTGTTTATTTATTTATTTTATGCATTTATTTATTATTTTTAGGTATGATTGTACCTTCAAATTTCCTTCCACATGTAGTTTAATTTTATGTGTTGTGTTTTCTCTTCTTTTTAGTGATGTCAAAAAGGGGAGAAGTTATTTGACCGTATTAGTTACATTTCTCATTTAGTTTCATATTTTTTCATAAAATTAAAAAAAAAAAAACAAACTTTAAAATAAAAAAATAATTTTACCCTATTTTTAATAAAAATCTCTTAGTAAGGGGGAGATTTGAACAAAATAATTTTAATTTTAAAATTCAACCAATAATATTTGTCATCATCAAAAAGGAGAGATAGTTTCAACTCGTACTCCCGAGTTTATAGTTTTGATGATAACAAACATTACTTATTGCAGCCTTATGTCTCTTAGCATTTATACAGTGTATTTGCCTTTGTGTGTACTAATATTTCAAGTACATCATGAACCATTCAATGAAGATTTAGGGTTCAAGATTAGGTAGAATATGATATGATGAAATGGTCTATAAAATTTATTTATATATATTTTTGATTTCTTGAATTAATTTCTATAAAGGTGTATGCAATCATGATGATCGTGCACACACACTCATGGGAATGAGATAGAGAGAAAATTTTTAAGAGTAATTTGTTGAACTAATCATTCTATATGATAGGTACTAATCGTACTATACGATGTTATGAAATTTTGCCTAAATTAATCTTGTGTCATTAAGGATCCAATTTAGATTAATTAGTCTAGTAAGATCACATTGTACGATTGAATAAATTATACTTAATGACCAAATCCTTGCATGGGATAATATTTTATTGTCACTAATTGTACGAGACAATAATCAACTTTGATTATATTAATTGTAAAGGAAGATGATCATATCATACTAGACGATCAGCTCAAATGCTTGAACTAATCGTACAACTCCTTACTCTTTGTAGAATACTAATAATGATATATTGAACTAATCGAATTGTATAATCAAGGCACTTAATGTACGATTAGAGATGATAGAATTGAGTTTTTAGGGTTTCTTGAAGCCCTTTATTTATGCTTTCTTGTAAGACATTGTATGAGTCTTTTTCCATTAATTGAGATATTTCTTTTGAAAGCTTGAAGAGCCTAGAGCTTGGGAATGAAAGGGTAGAGTTTGAGAGGGAGAAGATCCTTGTAGGTTCAAGGGAGTGTGAGAGAGAGTTTCACACGGTTGCTCTGGCAAACATACATGAGTTCCTCCACGCGTTAAAGTTTATCTTGAGGGAAGTTTTGGGAAGAAGATCTCTTTGGTGACAAAGGACCCAACTACTCCGCTACATCGAGGAAGATGAAAGTTATTTCAAGGTTCTCTGCCTCATTAGGGGGGTGAAAAGAATTCCATGCTCTCTGCCTCACCAATAGGGTGAAAAGAATTCTAGGCTCTCTGCTTCACCAGGAGGGTGAAAAGGATTTCGGTCCTCTGCCGCTCTAGGTTGGTGGAAGAGATTTAGTAAGGTCTTCTTTGCCTAGCTGTGGGGACTAAATGAGAGACACTATAGTGATAGTGAAATACCCAAATAAGAGGACTCAAGGTAGTGGATGTAGGTTAGGTTTGATCGAACCACTAAAAATTATGATTTGTTTGTTCTGATTTTCTATTTTTCACATTTTATTCTTCTACTATTTATTTCAGTGATTAGTGCTTTGTGAAAATTTGTTATTAATATTTTTTGTGATGATTAGAATATAATCACCATTATTGAAATTGTTTACAAGTTAATTAGCTTTTGCATCAAAGTGAAAGTATTGATTTCACATTAGTGTGCTTAGGGACAAGTTCACTTAGGCTTAACATCCATATCAAACTTTCAACTTGTGTGCAATATTAAAGGTAAAAATTAATGGTTCTCTCCTTCATGTAGACTTTCATGAGTCTTCTATTTAAGTTATCATTGTAAACATTCATATTATTCTTATGAATAATACGCATAGCTTCTCTATTCATGTCTTTCTTATATTGTTATGACCTTCCATCTACATCAGAGGTAGACATTAAAAAAATTGACAATGGATGGGTAAGATGATATCATCTTTAATCACATTAATAATACAATAATGAGTTATTATAAACAGTATCAAATTATTACATGTTAGAAAAATTTATGGCTATAGAGTACGTATTTTATATCTTAGCTTTATATAAAAATCGAGCATGCACAGAAAACTTATGAGATAACAATATTTTTTATATGGAAATCTAAGAATAGGAAAAACCACAATGCATGCCCTAAATGAATTAATCCAATAATAACAACGAATATAAGAGCCTCCATTTCTCATAATTAAAGGAGACATAATTATATGAGGTTAGGAATAATTATCTGATTTCCATTATTAGAATAACATAAATCAAGATACCACAAGCAGAAAGTTAAAGCTCATAGACATAATTATATATTAATATTTAAGTAATAAAAGTTGGATTTGAAAGTTTTGGAGTTGCTGGTAATAATTGTTGATAGTGGTCGTCGACGATGATTACTAGAAAATAAAATAAAGCTCCATAGATCTCTCAATGTGATTTCCATTATTAGAATTATAGAAATCGAGAGACCACAAGCAGAAAGTTAAAGCTCAACGACATAATTATATATTAATAATCAAGTAATAATAGTCATATTATAAAAGTTTTGGAGTTGCTAACAGTAATTGTTGATGATGATCATCAACAATGATTGCTAAAAAAATGCAATAAAGCTCCACATATCTCTTAATGCTCCCTCCAGTAGAGATAAGGAGAAAAGAAAAAGAATTCAATCCCATAATAAAAATTAAAACTACTATCCATATTCTAAATTTAAATACTGTTTATATCAAATTTATAACTTCATATTTAGTTTTGTCTCAAAAAAAAAGTTCGAAAATATTTCTTCAAGCTAATGCTGTTGATAAAAAATTTATAAAATTATTAAAACTCTAACATTAAAATCAAATTTACACTCGAGCACCCCCTCTTCTAATATCTAATAAAAAAAAGTTGCGCTGGAAAGAGAAAAATGAAACAGATTATGTATTTGAATGCTGGACCCCACCTTCTTCGTTGCAGCAAATTGATTGGTCAGCGCTCCAAATGCCAACCACAATATGAATACAGAAGCACAGGCCCGGAGGGCCCCTTAACATTTTAGCTTTGTCTTCTTCTACTTCTTTCAATCTCTCCAGCCAACAGGTTCTGAGCCTCAGCCATTATTACCTGTACGCAACACATGTCAATGTAAATGTAACTATCATAATATTATTGACATATATTATTAAATATGAATATTTATATATATCTATACATAATATTTAGCTCGTCTAACACTCTTCTCTAAGGAAAATAGTCATTAAAAACTGTTTAAAAAATAATAGAGGAGATCAATAAATGCTTTGGTATTATCTTTTTCTCATAAAAAATATAAAATAATAAGTTCAACATTCACCGATTCATAAATAAGATATTCTTTATCTCTTTTATAGAGAGAAGTCTACTAAAAGATTACCAAATCCTCATAAAACAAAGGCCAAAGCCAGAGAGAAATCACTAACCACTGCACAATCTTTGAAGCTCTTAACTTATTTTTATATTAACACCAACCAAGTTACAGATCAGACCCATGCGCATTAGATTCCGTCTCTCCCTCCTTTCAATGGATTCTAATATGGGAGACTGTGTTCCTCTTTAGCTCTTTCTTCTGTTTCTATTGCTGCCGCTGCTGCTCTTTTCGTTGAGGCTCCAACTCCTTTTACGTTTGAAGTTTGAATGCTCTCTATGGTATCCCCTCTCTTTCCCTTGCTTTTGTACCTGCTGTACTTTGTATTTGTCTTTTCCATCCATCTTTTGAGGGAGCAAAAGCTCTTAGGAGGCGTGAGCAGATGTGAGATTGCTGTAAGTTGTTTGCTCTTTTGAGTTTCGATCAAATCCATCTTTTTTTCTTTGAATAAACTCTTGCGGCTGGGGCTTCTGCTTTGTTTCCTCTTCTTTAGCAAGTTCAAAAATTTATCATTGCTTCATCCATGGAAGAACCAGCTCCACCTGAAGCTCTGAAAGATAGTCAAATGATCACCTCTGAACTAAATCCAAAGCCTTTAACGATCAAAACCTCTAACCCTGCTTCAGAAAGTTATGTTGGCAGTATTTCTGTTCCAATCTCTCCTTCCATATCCATTACCCCTCACCTCAACTCACCATCTCCTCCTTCCTCAGCCTTTGTTTCAGCATTGCAGTCTCCTTATATATCTCCAAGAGCGATAGAACCACCAAAACAATCAATAGAAACAAATACCACTACTACGACCACGAACACAACTCCAACAACAGTAACAACAAATCCATCACCAATCTCTTTCTCCGGCGACGATATCCCGAGCACATCCTACACTCCTACAGAGAGGTATGACTTCTCCGAGCCGTTAGAGCAAAGGCCTAAGTTTTCTGATGCTGCTGCTCCGAGGATCTCCTTCTCCTTTCCTGCTCCTAGAGTCTCCTTTACAAAAGGAGCTATCTCTCCTTGTGCCAATGCAAAGCTCAGGAGCTGTGATGTCTACATTGGCTTCCATGGCCAGAGCCTGAACTTAGTTAGATTCTGCAAATGGCTCAAATCAGAGCTTGAACTTCAGGGCATTGCATCCTTTGTGGCCGATCGAGCAAAGTACTCTGACAGTCAGAGCCATGAGATTGCTGATAGAATCATTTGTTCCGCAACTTATGGCATTGTTGTTGTGACGGCACCAAGCTTTCTCAATCCTCCGAGTGTAGAGGAAATCAGGTTCTTTTCACAGAAAAAGAACCTCATCCCTCTGTTATTCAATACCGAGCTTTCAGAGATCAGTTGTTTGGTTGATGGCAGATCAGAGGTTAAGGACTGTAGAGATGCTTTTGAAGGATTGACAACGAGCAATGAATTCAAGCTTGAAGCTAATGATAGCAACTGGAGAAGTTGTGTGATGAAGGCTGTTGCGATATTGCGATTGAAACTTGCAAGGAAGAGCATTGCGGAGAAAGAGATAGAGACTGAGGAAATAGAGGAGCTGCCATTTCAGCGAAACCGATACTTTGTTGGGAGAGAGAAGGAGTTGACGGAGATTGAAGCTGCATTCTTTGGAAATGCTGACCCCGAAATCGAGTGCCCAAAGCCGGTTATCACCAATGGTGGAGGATCAAGTGAAGGTTTTGCTGATGAGGAAAGTGATTCAGTCAGGAGCAATGGCAGATACATCTGCTTGGAGATGAGGAAACATAAAGAACCTACATTGGAAGCTTGGATTGAGCCTGTTATGGAACTGAGCTCCAAGGGAAGAAGCCTTCAGCGCCAGCGATCAAAGCAAAAGAAATCGCGAAGTGGAGGCAAAGGTTATGGAAATGCCAGTGTTGTATGCATCAGTGGCATCTCAGGGATAGGAAAGACGGAGCTCGCTTTGGAGTTTGCTTACAGATACTCTCAAAGATACAAGATGGTTTTGTGGGTTGGCGGTGAAGCTAGATATTTCAGGCAAAACATACTGAACTTGTCAACCCGTTTGAGTTTGGATGTCAGTGCTGAGGCTGAGAAAGAGAGGGGAAGAATCAAAAGCTTCGATGAGCAGGAATTTGACACATTCCAGAGAGTGAGGAGGGAACTGTTCAGGGATGTGCCATTTTTGTTAATAATTGACAATCTTGAGACTGAAAGAGAGTGGTGGGAGGGGAAGGACCTACATGATTTGATTCCGAGAAACACTGGAGCAACTCATGTTATCATCACAACCCAACTATCCAGAGTCTTGAACTCTGATCCAATTCAGCTGCCGCCTCTGTCATTGGCAGATTCATTGGTTCTAATCAGAGGGAGGAGGAAGAAGGACTATTTAGCTGAGGAGCTTGAGATGCTTAAAAACTTTGATGAAAGATTGGGGAGGTTGAGCTTTGGGTTATGGCTGATTGGTTCACTGCTATCTGAACTACAGATATCACCATCAGCGTTATTCGAAGCCATTGAGAGAATCTCCCTCAATGAGATCTCTCACTCTCTCATTGATGACGGATTTCTGCAAAACAATCCCTTCCTCATGAAGACACTGGCCTTCAGCTTTGCCATAATGGAAAGAGCTAAAGGAAGGCAAAGTCTAGCTTTCGGAATGATTCTTTCTGGTGCTTGGCTTGCTCCAGCTCCAGTTTCATCGGAATTGCTCGCAGCTGCTGCTGAGAAGAGAAGTGGCTTCTGTCATTGGGGAAAGTCTCTTCCTTCACCGTTATGCTGCTGCTTATCCTCACAATCCACAAAAAGTGGAGTCGAATCTGCGCTCATGCTTGTGAAACTAGGCCTGGCCAGGAGAGCCACAATGCAGCCTGGTTGCTACATCCAATTCCACCCAATCACCCAACTATTTGCTAAGAAACGAGGCGGCGCACTGCCTGCTAAGACTGCGGTGCTCGGAGTAAGGAAGTCAGGGATCACCTCATCAAACTCCAGCCACCTCTGGGCTTCAGTATTCCTCTTGTTTGGATTCAAGTCCGAGCCGCCGCTTGTTCAACTCAAGGTGTTCGACATGGTCCTCTTTATAAAGAAGATAGCCATTCCATTGGCAATTAGATCCTTCATGACATTTTCAAGGTGCAGTTCAGCATTGGAGCTGTTGAAAGTGAGCACAAATGTGCTCGAGGAGGTTGAGAAGTCATTTGAGATGCAAATTGAGGACTGGAACCATGGATCTATTTGCTGGAAAAAGAGATTGCAGAGTAGCCAGAGAGTGGATGAGTATGTTTGGCAGGAGGTTACGTTGCTTAAGGCTGCATTACTTGAGACTAGAGCAAAGCTACTATTGAGGGGAGGGCATTTTGATAGTGGTGAGGAGCTATGCAGGACTTGTATTAGTATCAGGACTGTAATGCTTGGACATAATCATGCACAAACTTTGGCAGCTCAGGAGACACTGGCAAAGTTGGTCAGATACAGGAGCAAGATTTAGAGTTCTTGATCTCAGCATTTGCTCTTGATTTGATGAAATTTTCCAAACTTGGAACATCAAGATTTATGCATTCCTGGATTTGTTCTGAAAATTTTGTTGTCTAGTTTATACTTTAGTTTGCAGGTGTATATGTAATAGATATATCAGAGGAATATTATCACTTCTTTTAACTTTTTTTTTTTCCCCTATCAGAATTGTTATTAATTTGCGTTTAGTTTTGTTAAGAAAAAAAATAAGCAAAAGAAAATTACAAGTTATAAAATTTTCCCTTAAGTTTTTTCAGAGCATCCTCATCTCTTTCACACTTAACTCAGTATTATGCTTCTCTTTTAATGGCCAACATTCGGCACCATAAGCATTGCAGGCCTCACCACCATCTTATAGAATTTTCCCTTAAGTTTGAGGGGTACTTTTCTATCACACAACAAGCCCGATGCAGTCCTCCACATCAACCATCCAACTTGAATTCTGCTGATAATCCCATCTATTTCACCATAACTCTGAACAATAGATCCAATATATCTAAACGTGTACTCTTATTAATAACTTGATCGCCCAAAGTTATAATCCCTTCACTAGGTCTATTACGACTAAAATTACACTCCATATATTTTGTTTTAGTTCTATTCAAGCGAAAACTTTTAGACTCTAAGGTTGACCTCCATAATTCAAGTTTACCTTCAACTCCCTCTCTAGTCTTATCAACAAGAAGAATATCATCAGCAAAAAGCATACACCAAGGTACATCCTCTTGCAAATGTCTAGTTGTTTGAAGATGATTGGTTAAAATTTATTTGAAGATATATAGTTTGAAGATGATTTGAATTTAGTTTGCATATGATTCCATCATATTACGAATAAGGTGCAATCATTATTCAGTCATGGATTAAAAATAGTTTGAAGGAAATCAAGTTATAGTACGTAGAATACTCAATCAGTTTTAATTTAATGTTTTATTATTGTTTAACAAATATTTAATCATTGTATGATAATGAATCATATCTCAAATTGATATAACCTAGATTGCAATCACAATAACTATGAAAAAAAATGTATTTCACAAATTTATAAATTGATTGTAAGAAATGAAATACGTCGACTATAACACAGAGTTTTGTAAACATATAGAGCAAATTATAAAAAAATCAGCATAGCGTTCATATCACAAGTTATATATGCATATAATATTTTTTAAGAAAGGAAACACAACAGTCATAACACATAGTGCTTATGAGAAATTGATGTAGAAAATCTACAATAATATCAACATCATTTATAACATAGTTATACAAATTAGTTTAATGAAAGAATAAATATACTTGAAATTTTAATTTTTACATTAGAATCATAAATTAACTTGTAAATCAACATAATGGTGAGATAAACCTACAAATGAATAGTCTCTGAATATTTGCATGTGATAATGTGTGATTTCTAAAGAATTTTATTTGAAATCAAATGTATGATATATTATATTCTATGCAGTTCATGATCATAATTACAAATAAGATATTGAGCAATCATCATACTCTATGTGCAATGACTTTTTAAGTTAAATTTTCTTAAAATTTAGAATGAATTTCCTTATTGTAACGTTAGAGCCACATTGATGGTGGCTCTACTTTACGTCTAAGGAGATTTAGAAGGAAAAATCATGTCTTTTAGCAAATAACCCTAATTATTGAAGCAACATTAAAAAACATTTATATATTGGATTCATCATTCTCTATGAGATCTTTAGTGTGGTGCAATAGGCTTGAGTCATAATCATACAACTTCATGGACTATGTAGTAAGTAAGATCTCTCATGTAATCCAATGAATGCTATTCTAGTCTATTGCAAAATATATGAATTCTACATCAACCAATAACTTTAGGAACTTCTCCTTTGCAATAGTGTATATGAGTGCCACATCAAGCCTTGTACTATATTCATTTTTATAAGTGATGGGATGCTCATTCCTTTTCTTAAATAAGATATTAGCAATTAAAAAATCATAAGCTAAACAAAAATCTAATATGGTCTTGCCATATTCATTTGTCGTTCCAAACACATGGCCACCATGAATGCTTTTAAAATCATCTACCTCTCTACCAACACGTCCATTTAAATCTCCTCCAATAAAAACTCTTTCTTCAAGATGTATCTTTTATATTAATTCTTCTAAGTCATTCCAAAAATTTAATTTAGAACTTATATCAAAACCTATTTGAGAAGCATAAGCACTTATAATATTAACAATCTTAATATCAATAATAATCTTTAAAGCTATAATTTTATCTCCAATACTATTAATTTTTATAACATTATCCTTCCAACTCTTATCTATAATAACACATACACCATTTCTTGTACAACTCCTACCTGAATGCCAAAGTTTAAATCCTAAATGATCAATTCCCTTAGCCTTCTCTCCAACCCATTTAGTTTCCTAAATGCACAAAATATTTAACTTTCTATGAATCATAATATCTACTAATCTATTAATTTTCCGACAAGGGAACCTATATTATTTAACTTTCTATGAATCATAATATCTACTAATCTATTAATTTTCCGACAAGGGAACCTATATTCCAAGTTCATATCCTAAATTTTAGTTTTATGGACTAGCTCTTTTGCCTACATCTGTCCTTGATGTGGGAACCCTTACCTATTTAACACATCAGGGCACCGGTGCAGCGGCCCTTGCACACTTGTTAGTGTATTCAGGCCATATAGCACGTCCCCTACAAATTACAAAAATAAAATAATATAATATTTTATAACACAGCCCATTAGTCTTCATGTGCACATCATTACATCTCATCACATTAGACCGCTTACGCCCTTAAACCTCCCAAATATATCACATGTACAGTGTTAAGCCCCTTATGTCTCCCATGTAGTTCACATATACAGTGTCAAGCTCTTATAACTTCCAATGTATAGCATAATTCATTTATACAGCTATTCAAGCTCTTATAGCTCTTAGTGATTATTTCAAATTTTCAATCATATGAACATAAAAATAATAATTCTTTAAACATGCATGAATAGTATCTAACATAATGCAGTGATGTACAAAATTTCACAAGTATAACAAATGTAGAAGTGTTTTCAGGAAATTACCTATGTTCACTTCAATATTTACAAATAAGAAAATCATTTTTTATCAACATCCACAACATCATTTTGAAACCTTTATTATTCAATAGTCATTCCTATCAATGTCAACATACTCTCTATGGCACTTAAAATTTCTCGTAGTTTAAAATACCAGGTGATGGAAATTCTTCATTCTTACTTGTCCCTATATTGATGGTGTACATAGATAATTCCCTATCAACATAACCAAAACAGTATGTTCAATAACATATCAAAACTTATGTGGTGGAAACTTTCCCAAATTTTATTTAATAAAATAAATTATCAAAACTCTAAAACAAATAATCCAAATTGAAAATTGAGAAAATGTAACAATAACTTACCTCAAGTAAGACAACTTCCTCAACTAGCGTGTCTAACTAAATCAGATTAAAGACCACCAAAATCTACTTTCTCTCTTAATTCTTTCCCTCTCTATCTCTAGTTGACTGCCCTTAGAATATAAATGATTTTTTTAAAAATAGAGATCAACGCTGCAGTGCCACCTTTTCATAGCATCATAGAGCTATCCATTTGGCACCTAGTTTAATAGAGAGGGAAACACCACAACGCTATCATTTAAGCACTACAATGCTCTCAAGGAAAAATTTCCTACATAACATTTTCTTTTTTGATTAAAAATATAATTTCATTTCATGATTAAATTAAATATAAACATAATGCTAAAATTTATAAAAATTTAAGAAATACTGAATGAATTAAAATCTCACTAGGTCTTATGTAGGTTGTTAATATAAAAGCATAAATTACATATTCCTTAGAAATATATCATCCACGATATTTTCATACATGTACTCAACCATCAAAATAAATTAAGATACAATTATTTCTTCCCAGTTTCTTTTTCCTAGGCGACTTCTAAATAATTCATACTCTTTCATTAAACCTTAATCATAAGGACCAATATATTCCCAAGTCATTTCAAAGCACTATTAGAAATATATCTACATCATTAGAAAAAGAAATATGATGACTTTGTTCAATAAACAACAACAACCTATACTGTATCATGTCATTATCTAGATTTCAAAATTCCCATAGCAAAATATATCATGATCTCTTCACACTTCCATTTATGAATGAGAAAAAACTGCAATAAACCATTAGGTCATTGGTGCTCTACGAGTAACTCTAATATGTGTTTGATATTTTATATCTTGCAGTTTGTGTTTTCTTTTTATGTTTGTTTCTTTGTCATATTGTTTATGTTGAAAAGTGTTTAGTTTGAAATGATTAATATTACAGGAAAATTTGCTATTATCATCAGACTTTCCAAAGGCAGCTCATACGCCGGAAAAAGTGGCAGCCTAACCGGCGCAAAGTATGCTAATAACTTTATGACGGTAGTTCTGATGAAATTTTTGTTATTAATTTACCGGAGTATATTTCACTAGTGGGTTTGTTGGTATATAAAACATTCTGATGCAAATTACACTGGTTATTACCGGTGGATTCACCGGCATTGCATCGGCTTACTTTAACTTGATAATTTTTTATAGCATATTATGCACCGATATTATGACCGACGGATAATCTATCATAAATTTTAATGGAAAGGACCATATTTCAATCACTCCATCATTTTTTTCTCATTTCTTATCCTCTTCTTGATTCACTTTACTCGCATCTGCGAGCTACCCTGAACACCACCACTATCGCAATAAGTTCCTCGGTGACCTTAACCACCGAGCTTTTCCACATTTGTCATCGTCAATTGCCTAAAGTCACCACCTCCTTGTTCTATGTGTTGCCACCGCCCTGTTTTGTGCGTAACCTTCCTTCGGTAAGAGAATTTACCTTGGTGAATGCTTTTTTGCTTTATTTGTGGACACTAGACATATACAAGAGAATGTACCTTGGTGTATTCTATTTTACTTTAGTTATGGATGTTCTCATTAGACATTTGCAAGAGAATGTGCCTTGGTGTATGTTTTTTTCTTTAGTTATGGATGTTCTCACAAGACATTTGCAAGCACCTTGGTGTATGCTTTTTTACT